TCTTCTTTCTGCTGACTTCTCTCTCCCTTTTATAGATAGAAGGTTTGATCAAAGGTTTCAGTGTGGATTCTGAGTATATTTCATTAAATCCACCGATTAAAGTCCAACTGCGTCCCATACAGCACTGACTGTACTGCAGAGGGTTGAGGGTAGTATGAAAACAGTGGACTTTTTCCTTCCCTCCCTCCCCCTTTTGCACTAAATATTATGAAATTGTTATCACTGGAAGTTTGCAATTTAAATCTCTATATTTAAAAATGAGAGTATTCACAAACACACATGAAGGAGTATCCTAGGGAAGAGCTTGTGTGTTTTTGGTACGACTTCTAAAGAAACAAAAAGGAACAACCACAAGTCTCTAAAGGACGGGGATGGATGGAATGGATGGATGAATGGATGGATGGATGGCCAAATAAAAAGGGAAAGGAAGAATCAGTAGTTTGAAACATGCTAAGGTATTAAATTAACTCTTACAATGGTTAATCTCAGTTACCTTTTCTGTTCTTTTCTAATAACTAAATCCAGACATCACACAATTAGTCATTATATCTGTTCAAACTGATGCTTTTAATATATTGAAATCTGTATTTTTAAATCAATAAATACCTATAAGGAAAAATTGGCTTTTATAATAAACAGTAGTTTAGGAAGACAGGGTAGCTACACAAGTGCTTGTTTCATACTATTACCATTCAACTTGAAATTGGAATGGGACGTAGGTCTAACAGTTTTCAAAGAACACAGCATAAAAAAAATAGTAAGCAACATGAAAATACTGTAGGTAGGAGATTTTTAGATAGCTTTTTGTTACATTTGATTCTTTCATCTAATTGGAAAGCAAGAAAAGGGTTACTAACACATGGTTTATGTTTTCAGCAACAATGCAAAGCATTACCTTTTTGTTTTGGTTTCAATTGAGTAATACTGTAAATTGAGTGCCAAGACTGAAAAAACCAAAATCCTTCACAAAGGTGATTTGGAGCGAGTGTTTCTTGCACAATGCACTGGTGTTAAACAGCAGCAAAGGCGAGGAAGTTCAACGTGACTCCTTGAGAGCGAGTGCACGAAAGCTGAATTACTAACAGCTCTGCTGAGTAACAACAGAACAGCCCCTGCTCTGCTGCACTCCGATGCCGCGCTCAGCGCGGGGCACTGGTGCCTCAGGAGGCATCAGCAGGGAAGGTGTGTCCCTGGAGGACATAACCTCTGCCACTGTCAGGGTTAAGGGTGCCCATGACCCACGGAGCAGAGAAGCTATAAATAATGGTTTCTCATGAAAGCTTTTTATGAAAGAAAAAATAAAGAAAATACAACACAGCAAAGGTAAAAAGTCTTGAAATCACTCTGGATAAATGATCACAACCGCGCTGTGAAGCCGTCAGCCCCGACCCTGCAAGCTACTTACAGAAGCCAGGCCCATTATCCGAGGGAATGTAAGGGATGAACATCCATCTGGACTTTGTCCAAAAGTAGTGTATGGTGTCTGAAACCAGGCCTTCTCGTTAGCCCAAACCACGTCACACAGAGGCAGTATGGATGCTCCAAGTCCAATGGCTGGGCCATTTACTGCTACAATGATTGGCTTCTTAAACTGAATAAAAGTGTTCACAAAATTCCTGAAGAGAAACAGAAACAGGCACTCACTATATGTGTAGAGTAAAATACACCAGCCCTTGAAAACTCAGTAATAATTCACCTCCACAGTAACATCGCTTTCAAAACCAACCTGATAACCTTCCACGATGAGGTGGCAGCTTGGTGCATGAAGGGAGCAGTGGATATTGTCTACCTAGGCTTCAGAGCGCAGCTTTTGGCACTCTCTCCTATAAGACTTTCATAGTCCAGCTGTTGATGTGTGAGCTGGATGAGCAGACAGTGAGGTGGACTGAAAAATGTCTGAATAGCTGGCCTGGAGGGTGGCGATCAGTGGCACCAAGTCTAGTTGGAGTGTTGCACCCCAGGGGGCCAGTGCTATGTCCAGTACTGTTCAACACCTTCATTCACAATCTGGATGATGGGGCACAGTCTACCCTCAGCAAGTTTGCTGATGCTGATACACCAGAGGGTTGTGCTGCCATCCAGAGACCTCAACAGGCTGGAAACATGGGTGACAGGAACCTCATGAAGTTCAACAAGGGGAAGTGCAAAGTCCTGCACCCAGGGAAGAACAACCCCAAGCACCAATGTATCCTGGAAGCCAAAGAGCTGTAAGGCAGCTTGGCAGGAAAGGACCTACGGATCCTGGTGGACACCAAGCTGAACTGGAGCCAGCAATGTGCCCTTGTGACAAAGAAGGCTAACAGTATCCTGGCCTGTGTTAGGAGGAGTGTTGCCAGCAGGGCAACTGCTCAGCACTGATGTCCAGTTATGGCCTCCCCAGTGAGAGAGAGATGTGGAACTACTGAAGATGGCCTAGCAAAGGGCCACCAAGATGACTAAGGGACTGGAGCATCTCTCAAGTGAGGAAAGGCTGAGACAGCTGGGACTGTTCAGTCTGGAGAAGAGAAGGCTCAGGGGGATCTCATCAATGTATATCTTCCCTGAAGGGAAGATGAAAAGAAGATGGAGCCAGGCTCTTTCCAGTAGTGTCCAGTGACAGCACAAGAGGCAACAGGCACAAACTGAAACACAGGAGGTTCCCTCTGAACATCAGGAGACACTTTCTTACTGTCAGGGTGACTGAACAGATGGCCAGCAATGTTGTGGACTCTCCATCCTTGGAGATACTCGAAACCCCTGCCTGGACGTGGTCGTGAGCAACCTGCTCTAGATGACCTTGCTTGAGAAGGAGCAGGCTGAACAAAATAACCTCCAAAAGTCCCTTCCAACCTCAACCACTCTGTGATTCCGTGGAACCCTAGCACCTCTGCCAGCCCAGCAAAGCACAGTAATCAGGCAGGTGCAGATTTAATGCCCCTCCTACAAGCAGCAGCTGCTCTGGCACTTGTTCTGTATTCATGTGCCTCACAGCCCTCTCTTAGATGAAGCTGTAGTCACAGCTCACCTCTGAGCACCAAAACTGTGGTTAAAGCTCCGCTTGATCTTCACTGTGTTCATGTGTGACACTGGTATAAGGTATCTATCTATATTTTTTAAGTAAAGGTATAATGTATATAGGCATAAGTGAAGGTGGACAAAGCATTAATGAGTTTCCTTAAGGAGTGTTTCTGGACTTTTGGGAGACAGCTTTTCTTAATCAATAAATAAATCAATAAATCTGCCTTCTAAAGTTATGAACACCCCATAAATAGTAGAGCTCTATTATCACGTATCACACACCTGTGAACTTCCCCTCCTCATCTCCCTCTCTCAGTTTAGTCATAATGCTAGAGGTGCTGTGCTTTTCAGTTACAAATGCATATTCTCATCCTCATTATCAACACAAGATGGCAATTCATTCCAGTACCCACAAAGCACAGATGCTTACATGCTGCTCTATCCTCAAACAGTAAACGCCTTCAAGAGCTGCTTAGGAAAATGTTAACTCTGTGTGTGTGTGTGCTTGTGCATATACACACACATCAGACCAAGCAGAGACTTCTAAAACCTGACAGTTGAGGTGCAGACATTTCTCAGTTAACAGCTACCACACAGAAGGCAGAAGTAGAAGTTGTCTGTATTTACCTCAGGTACGTGACAAATTCCTATTAGAATACAATGTACAACATAGAGTTGTCAGCACCTGTAAAGCACTCCTGTCCTCTGAATGACAGAGGATTTTTCATTTCAGTATTAGATGCTGAAATACGGGATTCTCATCGCATTTTTTAAAGAGGGGGATTTAGTGGTAATTTTTAAAATTTGCTTTCCATCTGCATTACATGTTTTTGTAGTTCTGTGAAACGGGACTTTTACTATATTGCATCCATCAGTAAAGGTTGTGATAACCTGCTGCTTACCTCAGCCTACTGTACTGAAATAGATGAATGCAAAAAAATTCCTACTGGAACCACCTTACACAAGCTGTCATACAAACATCCAGAGACTTTAGATAATTTTAATCATGCCTCTAAATGTTCCAGAGAGGACCATCTCTAGCATGTAGATGAAAAGTAACATCATTAAATTTGAAGGGGGGGTTTGTAGGTGTTTTAAGTTACCTTTATCCACTTTATTAACAATGAATAGTAAGTGACAAACCAGGCTTCTAGAAGGGCCTGAATTAAACTAGTGACAAAAGCTGAGTGTTAAGTTAACAGGGGCCTCTGTCCCCTGCCACATCTGAAGTCACTCTATGAGCAACTTTTATACAGAATGACTGAAAATTTTCCTTTGAAAAAAAAAAACCCACCAAAACAAACCTGTCATCATCTCCATGAGCCCACTGTGCCTCCAATTAAACAGGCTTTACATGTTACAAAGCCTTTTTCAGGGACATGAACTTTGATAATGACAACAGAACACATGTCTCTGAAGGAACAGAGGTACCCTGGAAGCATACAAGAGCTAATCCAAGAGCCCAGGCTCCCAAAACCAGTGTTCAAATGATAAGCTACTTGTTTGTACTGTTAAAACACGCCTAAGGATCCATGCTTTTTCCATAGCTGTTATTCTAGTTTGTAGTAATCCAGCTCATTTTCTTTAAATGTTAGGTTTGGTACCAAGTGTTGGGATGAAGTTCACCTATATTAATCTATTCCTCTAAAATATCCATGATTTCACTGCTCTGAATGTACTATATTCAGTTACTCATTCAATGCACATCTTGTATTTGTGTGTGTTAAATTTGTTTTCTTGAAACCCTATGTCTGTTTAAATCTTAAAATTGGAGGAGTGTACAACATGCTACCAGCTTTCATAGCTAAATTTTAGTAGTAAAAATAGTGATGCATGAAATGTCAAGCCAAACAGAAAGGGACAGGAGGTATAAAGAAGTGCTGTGCACTATATCACACAACAGGTGAATGTGTGAGATCATGTTGAATTAGAGGCTTTTCAAATAAGAAGAGATAAAACAAGCCAGACGATACACTGAAGAATACCCACTCAAGATAACCACAGACAATCATACCTACCTAATAGCTTCTGCCATCTTAGTGCTTTCCTTTTTTCTATCATCTGTTAAACGTCGTATAAAATAAATAAAATCGAGACCACAGCAGAAAATGCTACCGACTGCACTGAACAGCACGAGTTTACTGTCATCTGCAGCTGCCGTGTTCAGTGCACTTTGGACTTCCTTCATTACCTGAAAAATCAAAAATTCATTAGAATCTTTTAATTACATCATTACAAAGTAACATACTGTTCTCCTCCCTTCCTCCCCCTCATGAGATCTTTGACATCTTTAATTTTTCTTTAGGATCCACTCAACTATCATATTAGAAAAGTTTACTTTTTTCATTAGCCCAAAATAAGAAAGTTAAAAAAAAGTATTAGAAGCTTTGCATTTCTGAAATGTAATTAGACTAAGATAATGAAATTATTAAGAAAAGATCTATTAGATGTTATCTGTAACTACAGCACTCATTCAGCATTTCTGTAATTTGGACAGCAGATGGCACATGCAACCAGCTCAGAAGAAAAGAGCCTTAATTCAGGCTAAAGCTTGTTTCAAGTTGCACTTAATAAATCGCCACGTCTTGTAGGAGACAGCACATCTACATGTTCAGATAATGTAGTTAAAACTCAGCTGAATTACTCAAAGTCAGCTGTACATGTTACAACTTGTAGGCCACCACCTGAATCTTGTTTCATATATGGTTGTGCCTGAGTAACAGACAGAATGAGGCAGAGACTTATAATTCCATCAGCACCCTTCCCCCCAAAATCAGCATTCTTCTGACCTCTGGATTTAGTGAATTATTTTCAGATGATTTTGTTGATAGCAAAATGTGTGTGAATCCATCTTGTTTCCTGACAACAATGTCTCTGTACCGGTACGCGCTCTCTGTTTGTCTGACGCTGAAACGTAGCCTTTTATCAAAGGGTTGATCTCTCCTGTCATCAATAAACCTCCGCTTGCTGGCTGTCACTCCTGTCACCGATGTCTGTATGTTGGTTGTACCATTGGCTGCTAACGCTTCCATAAAGGTGGATGTACCTGGAAATAGTTTAAACAATGACGTTCTATTAATTACATTTTATTAGCTCAGCAGTTTCAGAATCCCTATGAGCATGAAAACACACTAGTCACATTAAGAACACACGCTAAATATGGAACTCTGTCCCCTGGAAGTTACTGAAATGTTACAGAAATAGACATTCTGCACAGAGCAAAATTAAAGCGACGAGGGGATCCAACAGATTCATTTTACAGTTGTGAGAAAACACATTTTAAATAAGCCAAACAGACCAATCATCATATACTTATTTTTAGAAGGAAGGGAAAGGTTTATTAATATTCCTAATACCCATGCACTTCAGTAGGTTTATGCTCTGCTTTCTCCCTTTCCAACATCTTTAAGTCATCTAAAAGCATCAAGATTGCAAAGAGAAAGCAGAAGCCTTTTGTTTCAAATGCCAGAGAGGTTAATATAGAGAAGAAAACACTTACAATAAGCCAAATAAAGAACTTGACTGACAGGATGATATAAAGCATAATAGTCTTTAAAAGAAAATGGAAATGAAGAAATACAGACTATAGTTCTGCGAGAGGGAAAGACAACCCATGCAGTGATGGATATTTTAATGGATTCATAGACAATGAGATATTTCTCAAGTGTAAACAGCTTTTGCTATTAGAACTGGCAAATAGAGCACTATGTCTTTCTGGTCTTGTTCCCAGTCACTTAGACAGAATTTGAAGGCGTCCAAGTAAACAGGCCATTCCTCATCACACAGAGGGGACAGGTTTTTCCATGCTCCACATTAGAAACGTAATACCAAATAATTACCATTCATAAAAGAAAATAAGAGAACATCTTGGATCTATAATCCATCTGTATGTTAAAGTCTCCATGTAAAATCTCCATAAAATTTGTCAAATTAATGTAATGGAGTATCCATGGGGGGAGGGAACTGTAGGGTTAAAAATGTCGGAAAAATGTGTTACAGGCCAAGACAGGAAAGTTTTGAAAGACTTTTCCTGAAAATTGAAGTTTGAGACTTCGTTAAAAACTTCTGGAAACCCACAGCCCGTATCTCACAAACAGGTACTTCAGGTCATCGTGCATAAGAGTTCTTAAAAACTACAGTGAAATAGTGCGTAAAGAAATTATTCATTAAATGCCATTGATCGATCTTGCTTAATTTGTCATTATCTTTCTGAAGAAGCTGCATTTTTAAAGTTCTAACAATATGCAATGCTATGATTTTTTGTTGTTGTTAAAACCAACAAGATACTTCAAACACTTGTGGGTCCAGTGAAGACACTAAACAGGCTCACCTAAATAACTGGAACATCCTATATCTCCACATTTTAACTGTGTTCAAATGTTGCTTTACTGTGACCCATATGAAGTATGAGAGAAATATTAAGAGAATGACTAATGAAATTAAAACTCAGACCATGATACATTTTTCTATTTGTATTTCTGATATAAAGATTTTAAAATAAGTCCGATTATAAATCTGCTATGATTAATTAGGCAAGCTGTCTGTCAAAGGAGCTATATAATAATGGTTTATTTTACTTTTTAAAGTCTTCCTTGTTGTATTAGTGATTTAATCTTCTTACTGTATCGCTTTTTGTGAAGAAGTTAAAAGACTTCAAGATTTTTCAATTGTTTAAAGTGAAAAGTAAGAAAGTGAATTCAGTTTGTGATCCGACTCAGAGACAGAGGTGAACAAAATTAAACAGAAAGTTAACATTTTATATTGTCACGGAAGTCTCACATTTATTCATAAATTTTTCATGGCACCCTTTTTTCATTTCAGCAGAATAAATGAAAATCTGTTGCATCCCAAATACGAAATCGATAAGGGATGCCTTTGATACTTTTCCCTTGTAAACCACACTATGTTGATGACATTCCTTTAAAAGAATTCCATTCTGAAGGAATTTGCAGGAATACCACTGTTGCCCCATATTTCATTGGGAACACAAGGTCAAATGGTATCACTGTCCACGATGGTTCGGTTTTCCATAGGAAAGGTAAATTAAAACAACTGAAATCACCTCTGATTTCTAAACCCTGATATAAGATTTTATGGATTCTGTTGTAGCCATAGCAGAAAAAGTGGAGAACCAAGACAGCACAATAGACTAGACTATGCCAAAAAAAAAAAAGAGTCAGTAAAATTGTGTAAGAGCTTTGAGTAGATCTTTTCCCATGACTCATACTTCCAAAGACATACTCAAATACCAGAAAATTACTTTTGAGATGTAAGAGGCAATGATTACATACTTCGAGAGACAAAACTTTTGGCAAGACCCGCCAGGATGTAAACACCACACACCACTTTTCATGCTTATTGAATTGGCAAGAAACCTTCTGAGTTTTTATATAAACTCTGCCTGCACTTGTCAATAGTTGCAGTTTCAAACCACAAACATGGGACAGCTGCAGTTCAGTGGAAGAAGTCTCCTACATCCCATCTTGTAAACTTACATACTTAGACTGGAATCAAAAACCTGTCGGCTTTGGAGACCATGTCTCTGTGCAGGGAGATTGGGCCAGCTGGTACGGATTGGAAAAGGGCACCAACAGAGGTAAAATACGTTCGTTAGGGTTTGTCATCACTGTAAGTTTGTGACCTTCTACACCTTAAATCATAGGGGGCTCTTTCTTTTGACATTTGGTCTTCAAAGTCAGGAGGCAAGTCAGAGATGCAAAGGAGAACTTCATGCGATAGATAAATAGACAAAGGTTGCCTCATTGGGCAGTCTTGGGCGTGCATTGCGGCAAACGAGGGTGAAAATAAAAGTGCCAGAGAGAATTAACGGTATTGCCATAGATTTCCTTACAGGAAAAATTTGCATTGAGGTTCCTTGTTTTCAGGTTAATTACAACTACATTTTACAATTTTAAAGTGTAGATTTTGTAACAAACCAAAAGCATTTTAATATGTTAATAGCATTAATAGCATATCAAAGACAAACAAACCACCACAGCCCCCTCCTTTCAAACTGAGCCTTCCAAAAACAATAAGGGCTTGGAAAAAAAGACAATTTATCCTGGATATTGTCATCTAATGCAGAACTACGTTTAAGAGGTAAACAGCTCTTACAGTTACAAAAAAATCCCCCAAAAACCACCCTTGCAACTGCAAAATGTTAATTAACGTAACGTGATCTTCTCAAAGGTGAAGACATACTGCTGCTGCGCAAAGCTTCACCCTACAGATGCAAAATGAAATTAAGAGGACTACTTGGTTTTGCAGCTGCTGATCAAAACCTGATAACAGTCACCATTTTCACACAGCTGCTTCTAGAGAAAAAATTATAAGCTCTGGGCAACAGATAAGAAAGGAACTGATCTTATTCAAAAGGAAGAAAGACACAAAACACAGAAATTGCAGAAGGGGCAGAACAGCAAAGGTACCATCATCCCCGTTCCACTGGCAGAAGACAGAAAAAGGCCACCTCTCCAAAATACAAGGGGATAACCATTAAAATGCATGATGCCAGACACCTAGATAAACAGAGTTAAAACCAAAGCAGGTAACACACAACTTCACAGCAATCCACAAGTTACAACCCCAAGCTCCTCTCTGAGCTATTTGTGCTCACTGCTACTGTCTCCCAAATTCTGGAGAAGTGTGGTTGATCTTCCACAGCAAGCCTGGAGTGCAAACACTCCCCCAACAACACTGGGGACAGATCCAAACCGGTGCCCTAAGGACACACGCATGTCCTAGTGGTGGTACTCTTGGTTCAAAGGTTTGGCTGACAGTGTGCTGTTTCTGAAAGGCTTAGGACAGATGTCTAAGGAACTAGCATAAGCCGGGAGGTGTGAATGATGCTGAGTATTTTCCCCAATTCCAGCCACCAGAAATTTAGCAATTCCTAAAATTTGCATGCCCAGAGCCATCGGGTGCACCCAAACCATGTAATGAAATCCTTATCCCCCACGGGATTGTCCAATTTACTTTTGAAACCATGATGGTTTTGTCTTCTAAAGTGTCTTTATGCAACTTACTTTCTTCAGCCCTTTCATCCTATCCCTTCTCCAGATTAGTCACAATCTTATTTACCCTTTCTTCTTCCAAAAGCCAGCCCAAGCCTGTCATTCTTCTCCATGCCTCTTCCTCTTCTAAATCTTGGAACAGGGTCCAAAATGGCACAGAATATTCAAGGTGGGGGTTTATAATGTGGCATATTCGAGCCTTTTCTTTTGTCTTCTACTACTTTTCCATAATAATTTCTAACAATTTATTTGGTTTGGTTTTTTTTGTTTTGTTTTGTTTTTAAAAAAAAAACCTAATACTGAGCAGGTGTTTGCAGAAAACTACCCAAAAGAAACCCAGTGCCCTTTTCTGATACACAGTCAGGAACTGGTCTATGTTTTGCCATAGGCATAATTTTGCACAGAAATCTGTTTTGTCCCCTCCTCACCACTTGGCATTTATCTGTGCCATAAGTAATCTCTCATTTAAATCACAAAATCACTCAGTATTTTCAGATCTATCTGCAGTGTTCACAAGGAGCTTCAGGGACCCTCATGTACCAACCACGTCCTCTCTTGTACTAAGTGACAAAATGGTTAATAACAAGTGTCCCACTCGAATAAGCACATGAACAAACACCAGCAACAATGATTTCTTAAAGTGTTAAAGGCAAATAAAACACTGTAATTGTAACTGGTTACAACTCAAGTACTGGAGAGGGAAAAATATGATCTGCAAAACTGATTGGGAAAAAAACTTTTGATTAAAAACCCAACTGTGCAAGTTGCATTTTTTCCAAAGTCCTTCCTATACTTGCACGGCTTTATAGTCCCCTGTATCCACAGAACTTCACACCAGTTGTCCAGTGCAGATTGCCTGATGTTCCCTTTTTCCCTGTGTACTACATGTTCATATGCACTAGCAAGCTTTAACTGTAAACACTGTTAAGCTTTTCCAGTGTTAACTATGTACTACATCAATTATTCCACGAGACACCCACCCCAGACAGCGATACTGCAACGCAAAGATAATACACGAGAGTTTTCAG